GATGTTACGGAAGGGGAGGGGGAAGAGAAAGCAAAGGATCAGTCAGTGTCGGAGCCTGGACCTCTTCGAGCCCTGCAAAGCGAGTCAGGAGACCAGCAAGGGCATTGACCATGATGTCCGCCATGCCCAGAAATTTTGACATTCTCCCAGTCAGATGGCAAGGGGCGGAGAAGGTAGAATATGCACTTTATACTTTACAGACTGCATTTCAGATGCAGTCACTGTGAAGAGCGTGGTGGGGGCGGGGGCGGGGAAGCTTATAGCCACGACTGAGTGAGACGCAGTTGGACACGGGCTGCGCAAACACAGCAGATTGGAACTTTCACCCGCTCTGGTACAGGGTTAACACATCAAGCCTCCAACTGAACTGCCACACGCATCCGATCCCAAAGCTGTACCTGCACGTTGAAGAACTGCCGAGGGGTGACATCCGTGTACGTTCCGAACACTGCGGGGACGACAAGGAACGAGAGAATTAAGAGACGCCGATAAAACAGCGATCAACGACGCTCAAGAAGCTCGACTACATCCAGGAGAAAGCTTGGCCAGCACCATGTCTGCTCCCCCGCCCCCCAGCTCCGTGTGTATCGTCTACAACTACAGAAATTCCCCAAGGCTCTTTCCAAAGTCCCCACCCACCCAGTACCAAAACGCCAGCTCGAATGTTTTCTGCTCAGGCTAAAGACGCCCCGACCGGGGTGGGGGTGGGGGGTCACAGGTCAGGTGGGTTGGCACCACGGGAGACTCTCACCTCGGTACTGGTAGAGGTGGCTGCTCGGAATGGGCCTGCGCCAGAGCCGGAAGCTGGGTCTGTCTATCACCAGCTCCCATGTGCTGTCCCGCTGCTGCTGGTGCTCGCATTCCGCCCGCTCCCAGCTTCTGGGTTTCTCCACAGTCGGTGCATCCAGGCTTCTGAATTCGCTCAGGCACCTGCGACAAGGGGACAGTCAGTCAGTCAGTCAGAAAAAGGAGGGCGTTACCCAGCGCTCAGCACGGGGCACAGCTACTCCGAGGAACGGCCTTCCGAGCAGAGGTAACTGCCCGAAACCTTCACACCAGTTTTCTCTCAGTTGTTCATTTGACGCGGCTGTCAGTTTATCGCTCATTTGGCACAAAGTCAACCACATCGCTGACGGTAGTAGGGCAGACCGCGGAAAGGACTGCAGATTTCCTTCCGCCTCCCCTCCCCAGGGGGACATCAGTGAACTTTACAGAACAACCGACAGTGGTCACACAATCACAAGAATCCAAATTTTACCATCTGGCACGGTCCGCTTCAAACTCAGTGCCCCCTTCTCCCCACCTCACCTCCACATCGAAAACAGCCACAAAGTCTGGAAAATGCCAGCATTAACCCTTCGTTGGCTCAATCCCTCCGCGCTAGCCACGTCCAAACCTGCAGTCAACCATCCACCCCTCCCTCTAGCTGCAGTGTGCCCTTTTGAGTTTGCTGCCTCAATGGAACCACGCGCAAGTGAGATGATGCTGTAACTTTAAGAGGCGTGTTTTGTCCTGGTTTCTTTTAGACAGAGAGAGAGAGATTGGGGAACGGGCTGCCTATGAGAAGATAAACAACTCGTGAAGCCTTCGCGTGTGTTTTCTTTTAAAAGGCTGTAACAATAGAAGCAGCCTGAATGGGTGCGATCAAGCTCCCACCCACAGAATCAGGGATTTTTAAGCTTTTAGTTTTCAGTAGCAGTTGCTGTTAGGGTCTTGAAGTGGAAGCTTCCTCCCCCACTCTCTCCATTACAGCCAAAAATGGGTGGGGGTTCTCTTCCTGGGCTGCTGGATTATAAGACAAAATCTGTTTTCTGAATTTGTCTTTGCCAAGGGTGTGTTTATGGGATATTACTATATTGGAACAATTACTGTTTAGTACTAAAATGATCTATTATTCTGTTAAGTTTTCCGATAACATTAAGTCATTCCAAGTTCCTCTTTCTTTTGTTGTATCTTAAATATAGTCATGTACTCAGAGTCATATAGCATGGAAACAGACCCTTCAATCAACCAGTCTATGCTGAACACAATCCTAAATTAAACTAGTCCCATCTGCCTGCTCCAGGCCCATATCCTTGCAAACCTTCCCTTTCCATATACTTATCCAAATGTCTTTTAAATGTTGTAATTGTACCCGCACCCGCCACTTCCTCTGGCAGGCCATTCCACATGCAAGCTACCCCCTGTGTAAACAATTCGCCCCTCATGTCTTTTTTAAATGTCTCTCCTCTCATGCTGAAAATATGCCCCCCCTAGTCTTGATATCCCCCATCCTAGGGGAAAAAAAAAAACTACCACCATTCACCCTACCTCTACCCCTTGTGATTTTACCAACTTCTGAAAAGGTGACCTCTCAACCTCCTACGCTCCAGTGAAAAAAAAGTCCCAGCCTATGCAGCCTGCCTTTATAACTCAAACCTTCCATCCCAGCAACATCCTCATAAATGTCTTCTGAGCCCTCTCCAATTTAATAATATCCTTCCTATAACAGGGCGACCAGAACTGGACACAGTGCTCCAGAAGAGACCTCACCAACGTCCTGTACAACCTACAGTGTTTGAATAAATTCTGTTTTGCTTAAAGTCGAGTGGTTTGACCAATCAAATTGCACCTGGAACACAGCACCTCACATTTACCTTTGAAATAAGAAATAATGTGTATGTCTAGGCTACCATTTTAAGATATTTTGAGAGGGTCTGGTCTAGTCCCTAACACAAGTTACACCCTTCTGCTGGGCACCCAAGTGCTGTCAACAACTACTCAACTACAAGAGGCTGTTCAAACCCACTCCTTCCTTGCCCACTGGAAGATTCAGAGTCTGGGCTCACTCGGTAAAGGATCACAATGTGGAACTCCCCCAGCCCCCCAGGGTGAATTCTTTCTCTCTGCGCCAACCCTCGGAAAGTTAGGCCGTTTATAGAAAGCCAACTGCTAACTGAGATCAGCGAACCAGGGTACAAAACCAATGACTGACACAGTACACATGGCTCAGTGCCAAAACTGCGCAACAGATAATTACGGCAGGCCAGCACCAGAGACATGTCTCACTTATAGCTCCGGTTAAGTTTATCAAAAGAAGTTTATTTAAGAGGAACAAGTTTACACAGAAGCAAACAAAAAAAAAAACAGACAGGCGGCCAACCACACAACATTTTCTTTGACAACACTTGATCTACTTTGAAACAGCAATATTTACCAACCTGATCTCAGGGAAGCTGTAGGTTGAGGTCCTTAGACTGGTGTCATGCAAGAAGAGATTACCAAGCCAGCAGAGTTCTCTTGCGTTGACTCACTGCAGAGAAATATTCCCCCCCAACTAAAGAGGTAGAGTCTTGATGAATCTTAACATTTGATCCTGATAGAGCGCAACTCTCAACTTCCCGAATGGTCTTGCCAGCTCTTGTTACCTGCTGGCTATTCAGAAATGTATTGCCAGTAATACAAGTATCGCGAGGCTGCCTTTCTCCCCACTGCAGAGACGACAGAGAACTAATCACGCTATTCTGACAGGTATCGTAACAAAAAAAAAAGGCAAGGAAACATTTTGGACCTTGTAAAATTTGACAAAAATCCCAGTTCCATCAAAGGACGACACAGAAAAAGGGAAGTGTCTATCTGCGAGCTTTCCTGACAACGGAACCACAGCCAAGCCTGGTTTGGTCTCCCAGGGACTGGAGGCCATTTGTGCGGAGAGGAACCACAGCAGGGAAACCAAAAAAACAAACCGAGTAACAGAAACTACAGTACAGTCACCATTTCTGCTCACTCGCCTCTGTCCCCTCACCAGCCTCACTCCCCTCCCCCTCACCATTAGGTCAGTCTTCGCCCTTTCCCTTGTCTTATCCACAAACAGCACACACTAAAGCTAACATTGCGTTTCTATTTTGAGCCTGTTGTCTAAAGGTCACCTTGGGACTCCAGCTCCCCAAGCCAATTCAAAGGTCTGCTCGTGTTGACATTCTGCACAGCCTCCTCCAAAACCCCTCCATCCAGCTCAGCCTATCACCCTACCTCCCTATCCCTCTCGAGCTGATCCAGCACTCCCCAGACACTCCCAGTCTAACCACCTCAGCCACAACTGGAAACCGACGGCCAGTCGTTTCGATCTTGGCACTAAGTGGGAACACCTCCCCCCAACGTCGTTCCGATGGAAACCCTTTGTAACCCTGCGAGACCTCCAGTCAGTCAACCTTCAGGAGAGGAGAGATCAAGATTGCACAGCCTTTCTCAATGGGCACAGTCCTGGTGTCAGTGTTTGTCAATCATTCTCCTCCTCCCCGCACCTTCTACAACAGGACGACGAGGTCCTCCCAGCCTGATCTAACCAATAGCCCTTCATTCTAAACTCTCTGCTTTGTGGTACAGTCCCAACACATTATTTGTTGAAATATTTTAAAATGTCTTTGAGGACCATCAGAGGAGTAGGCCATTCAGCCCATCGAGTCAGCTACGCCACTTGGAGAGATCGCAGTTGATCTGATAAACCACAATTTCACTTTCCTGTCTTTCCCCTATAACCCGCGATTCCCTTCCTGAATAGGGATCCATCTCAGCCTCGGGTATACTTAGTATCTCAGCCCCTACAGCCCTCTGCGATAAAGAATCCCACAGATTCACTACCCTCAGAGAAGAAATTCCTCCTCATCTCTGCCTTAAATGTGTGACCCTTCTAAATCTCTCCAGTAATTTGTGTAAAATTGCGACATTGTAAATGTCATGAAATGGTCAGCAATTTTTGTTCTAAACATACAATGGTCTCATTGGCAATTGAGATTTTCTTTTTGAAGAATTCTCAAGGGACTTGACAGCGTCAACGCGGAGAGGATGTTTCCACTTATGGGAGAGTCTAGGACCAGACTGCGCATTCTTAGAATAAAGGGAAGCCAATTGAAGACTAAGATGAGGAGGAATTTCTTCTCCCAAAGGGTCCAGACTCTTTGGAACTCCTTGCCACAGAGAGCTGGTGGGAAGCAGAACCTTTGTGTACATTTAAGGCTGAGATTGGGAGAGATTTTAAATCAGAAGGTACTCAAGGGTTACAGAATAAAGGCAGGAAAGCGGGGGTGAGGAACGCTAGATCAGCCACAATCCTACTGGACCGAGCAGGAGGCTGGAGGCCTACTCCTGCTCCCATTTCTCATGGTGTTATGGTCTTATAACCATCGTATTTAATCCATTTCCTTCACATTGGAGGATAAGCGGGTTCCAGTTTTGGGGAAATGCCGCCTGGACAGTTTACATTTGGGATTTTCCCCTTCCTTCGGGAGCTGGGTACAGAATCACTCAGGAGCCAGGTTCCCATCCAGACACATTCGCTGTGGGCTGCTGAAACACGATGAGCCCAACTCAGATGTCTTGCCTGGGAGGACGACGAGAAAGGCCACTGCCAACTTACACCTGAACCCGCTGCGGCTTCATTGCTTTCTTTTCAGAAACATAGGGTCATTCAGCCCCTCTGGCCTGTTCCATCATTCACAAAACACCACTGACCCACCACCTAACTCCACACAATCTCCATTGGTTAACAAGCGTCTATGGACAATAGCTTAAAAACTGACAAATCAATCAAGAATCAATTGCTGATTGTGGAAAGCAGTCCCAAACGTCTACTGTCCTGTGCATGCGTGCAACTATTTCCAGTTTTCTTTCCCGCTTGGGCTGGCTCCTGTTTTCGGACTTGTCACAGACTCCCCGTTCAGCGGCAGTAATTTCTATCTATCCACCCGACTGGCCAACAGTGTCACCTGCACCACAGTGTTGATGAATTCAGAGTCACCAACGTGAAATGTGGCTCAAAGGACACATGTGCTGAAAAATGCACACTTATGCCCTGAAATTTCGGGGCATTCCCACACCCCATGATCGACGGTCACCCTCAAACTTGACAGTAAGACCGACTGGGCCCCGGCGCTGTCAAAACTCTCCAAAGGCCCACGCCACCACTGCATCAAACTCTAAACTGACACCGTTTCACAATCAGGGGGCTGCCAACTTTGCACAGAGACTAGGAGACATTCTGTCCTCTCAGAGGACAGCTGGTCTTCACAACTCTCTTTTCCCCAAGGGCCAGCGAGCAGAGACTTTGAATATTTTTGAGGCAGAGGTGGGAAGATTCTTGGCGGGGAAGGCAGGATGTGAAAGGTTATTGGCATTTGGTGGGGGGGGAGGCAGCGGGAACATGGAGTAATCAGATCCCGCTGAATAACAGAGCAGGCTCGAGGGGCCAAGTGGCCTACTGCGAATTGGAAGCAGCATTTGAGGGTGAGCTAAAAACACCACGATAACAGCAAATGTACACCAAATGTCCGAGGCAACTGGCTTAACCAAACAAGCTGCTGTTTGGAATCACTCTTTCAGTTTATTAAACAAATGCTGACCAAAGAGAAAAGTAGTTACAGAGGCCATTACCAGACCGTTGTATAAATCCATTTGGCTCGCTAACATCCTTTAGGAAAGGGAAATCTGTCTTCCTTACCCAGCTGGGGTTTACACATGATTCCAGACTCTGCATCGATTCCAGACTCCCAACTGCCTTCTGAAATGGCCCAGCAAAGCCACTGAGGTATTGCGAACCATGACAAATAACGTACAAGAACAAACCAACATCGACCGAGGAGCCCGATTTGGATGTGACAAGGCTGAGCTCGCTCTGCCCTCACTCACATCTGTCCCATTGGCAGAACAGACTCAGCAGAGGTGGTGTCACAGTGGTATACAGTCAGAAAGGAGGCACCCTGGGAATCCTCAACGTTAATACTGAATCCCCTGAAGTCTCGACACCAGGCACATGAACAAGGAAACCTCCTGCTAATTACTATGTACTATCCTCCCTTGGCTGATGAAGCAATGCTGCTCCACGTTGAACAACACTTGGAGGAAGCACTGAGGATGGCAATGGCACAAAATGTACTCTGGGTGGGGGATTTCAATGTCGCACCACCAAGAGTGGCTCAGCAGCAGTACTACTGATCGAGCAGGTCGGGTCCTAAAGGACATAGCTGCTAGACTGGGTCTGCGGCTGGTGGTGAGGGAACCAACAAGAGGGAAAAGCATCTTTGACCTAACGCTCATCAGCTGCAGATGCATCTGTCTATGACAGTATTGGTAAGAGTGACCACCGCACAGTCCTTGTGGAGACAAGTCCCACCTTCACATTGAGAATAACCTTCATTGTGTTGTGTGGCACTATCACCGTGCTAAGTTCAGAAATACCCAGCAATTCAAGACTGGGCATGTAGGAGGCACTGCCAGCGAGTGACAGCAGGATCGTAACAACAGGCCTTGCCTGCACCCCATAAATGCTCTTAAATTTAAAAAAAGCTGTCAGAACTAATCTCACTCGAGAGCTGGAAATTGGCGTCAATCAGAGTTGGGTGCTCAGCGTCAGAAAACAGGAACTTTTCGTGCCTGAGCCTGCTCCTCGGATCAAAATCGATGGCTGGTCAGGGACACAGCTGGCTCTGCCTCATACCCTCTGAGGCCATTTCCCTACAGGAAAACAATTGGTCTCGGGCTTGGACATCCCATTTACCCAGCGTGCATGTGTGTCAGATAAAGTAGGGAGGAGGAGAAGGTCAGAGAGGGAAGAAAGATTAGGTGGAGAGGAGAAGGGGCAAACAGACAGTAAGAGGGGAGGAAGACAGAAGTGGGGTGAAGGGAGCGCGATGGGGGGGGCGCAAACGTAATGGAGAAAGGGGTACAGCATGGTGGGGGGGGCATGCGCAATAGAGAGAGGGGGAAAAGCATTGAGGTAGGCAGCGAGATAGAAAGAGATAACTTCACAGAGGGAGACAGTGTGATAGACAGTGAGGGAGAGTGTGAGAGAGAAAGAGAAAGTTCACTTTTAATGATACTGTTTCTTGACTTCCCTCTGAAGTGGCCTGGCTCCAATTTTAGCAACACATTTTCTCCCTCCCTCCCTCTCAGACCCTCTACTGAGGACCTATGCACTTGACCTGGCTTCACATTTTGAACGTCTCGAATAGGTCACTCTTACTGCTGCTCCTTCAGCTCTCTCCCTCCCTGGGTATGAATGAAAAAACAGGCAAGATGTAAATAGTGTTTCCAACAGACACTCCTCCCTCCAGATTCACTGCCACTTTGCACCAATAGGTCATCATTTTATTTCAAGGATTATTTCAAGTTTCTTTCGCTCTGCCTGCTTTAGACAGCTTGTGGGGGAGGACGGAGGGGTTGAGAAGTCGATTCAAGGCCGAGATACAGATTTTTAACCAGGGAGGGAATCAAGGGTCACGGGGGAAAAGCGGAGTGAGAAGATAATCAAATCGGTTAGAGCAGACCCGATGGGCTGAATGGCCTAATTCTGCTCTTCCCGACTCTACTGTATCGACCTACAGGCACTCACCGCTGCAGCTCCTCATCCTGAATCCTCTCGTTGTCCCACATGAAGACGGCAGCAAAGGCTGCCACCAGCTTGCCGGTGCCCCGGTTCCGGCTGTGGAATTGCCTCCACAGGCTGGAGAGCAGGCTCCGGCGGGACCGCTCCGAGTACAAGTTGTTGTACAGCTGCCCGATCTGCTGGGCCCTCCGCAGCCTCTGCCCGGTCACGTAGCTGCACTGACTCGCGAAAATCGACACCAGCTTCTGTCGGGCCATGCCACCCGATCCGCCGCAATCCTTCAGCCAGCCCCGTGCCCAGCGCCGGACGTCATCCGCCCACTTTCTCCAGGCCTCCGGCTCGACAACCTCGCGCCAACCCCCGGGACGGCTCGAGAAGTAGGCTGACTGCAGCCACCCAGAACAACGCCCACTGAGCTGCGGAGGCTTCGACCGGGCAGAGTGCAAGAGTACGGCCGGTCTCCTCACGGTCAACATGGCACGCGCAGCGAGGCCGATGGTCAGGATTCAGCTTAAGACAGAACGGAAAATGACAGCCGTCAATAAACAACACGCACCACATCTTTGGCTAGGAATGTGCATCTGCAAAATTTTACCCACGACAGTTACTTTCTCTTTGCAACAACTTGGAGGTCGGATAAGTCCTTTCAATGGTGTATTGTGAATATTTCCCTTTGCAAATTGTTGCCAGGGTTGTCCTTCACTGAGGCCAGGCCTTTCTGTGCCCTGCTACTAAAGTTCCTCCTCTTATATCCCTCTCTCCCTCCGACTACCCTACCCTCCCCAGCCCAGCCCAGCCCAGCCCAGCCCAGCCCTCCCCACGCCACCCCCCAACTACCCTCTCCAAGAGCCCTTGTCCACCTCTCTCCGCGTTTTAGCCCCCCCTTTTTCCCAATTCCCTCTCTAAAATGTTCCTGTCTCTCTGATTGCCCCCTCCACCTCCCCAAAACCAGGCCCCGCTGCCTGTCAATCACTGCACCCACGTGGGGCAGCGCAGCGCGTCCCAACCTGCTGCCTCGGCCTGATTGGATCGCTCCGAAGTGGTCGCCCTCCCCTATTGGCCGAGGGAGCCGTCAATCGGCGAAAAACTCCACCCTCCCCTCCTCCAGGAGCTCGCAAGCCACTGGGCACGGCCAGGACCGAACTGGGGCTTTGGAAGCTCCCACCCTTCGTAACCGATACCCTTATAACACACCGCTTGGTGTCCGGGTAAAGGAACGGAAGGAGAACGATTATTGACCTCCAGAAGAAGCGCAAAAACCAAAGACCATATCTCGGTGCAAAAGAAGAGCCCCGGAACCTGAATAATCCGATAACTAGTGAGGCAGTGTGAGCATGCTCAGAGCCGGGGGGAAAGGGCAACGTGAGCATGCTCA